ATTATAATTATTATTATTTTATATATTTATTTTGATAGTAACTAATTCATGTTGCTAAATTTAAAAGAAACTTAATAGTTTTTAAAGTTCATTATTATTTAGAGTTTCAAAAATATCAAAGACAATGACCTATTAGAATGGTTGATAACATTTCTCTTAAAATAATGGGAAAAATAATTTATTTTAATGCTATTATTACTAAATCTGACTCCTACAATGCAATAGTTAAAAATGATTAATTTGAAAAATTAGATGCTGTAATCAGTTATTACTATACATAAAGTCAAAATAGATCATTTCAGATATCTGAAATGGTCGAAATAATGTCATATCACATGATTTTTTTATATAAAAAAAAATAAAAGATATACGATCTCAGTTAATATCAATTAGATTCATATAAAACAACTTCCATTCAATTCCTCACGACTAGACAAATCCAATAAGTTAACATTCATTGATTTCAGATTATTCAATCTTGAGATAATCACAATTGTATTATCGGCTAAAATTATAAATCAATAAATTCTATTTTAAATAAAGAAGTCTGGATTTTAAAATACAATCACAAATATCTCAAGATAGATTAATCCAAAATCAATGAATGTTAGCTCATTAGATTTATCTAGTCACAAAAATTGAATGGGTTTTTTTTGACTTTTAATGATGTAGCACTGCTATAAGTTTATTAATTTTATATTGTATACTAGATAAAATTTATAAAGAAAAATTACAAAGTAGATAAAAAGCTAAACTAATGACTATCTTCTGTAATCCTATTGCTAATAAAAACACAAACCCGTTTAGATCGACTGATCACTAGAATCTCTTTCCAACTCAACTAAAAAATCCATATTTAATGATTAAGCTGTTAACAAGAAATTCAAATGAGGTTGTCAATACAGCAACGTAATTTCTAAATGCTCTTCAATTACAGCTTCTAAATAAAATTTAAAAACTAACAACCCTCCTAAGAAGAAAAATAGATACAAATAGAAATTATTAAAAAAGACTAACATGATTCTATAAAAATCTAAATGTCCAGTTAATTTCAGATATAATGACCATCTAGCCAAAGAAGAAGCGTCTAAAGAAAGGTCTAAATAGAAGCTCTTCATACTTATATATTTATAAGTATAGAAAAAATATCACATGAAATCCACTACGAAAAATCTTACAATGTATCAACAGATAGTAATCTATACCCTTTATCTAGTTACTAAGAGGGAATGGATTTAGACGAAATGAACATATACTAAGTAAGTATTATGGCAATAACCACTCAGAGTTTTATTTAAAACTACGGTAGGCTGATAAAAATACATAACCAAGTGGTAGCTACCATCATACTATATAGAAGATGTCTGAAGACACTAAAGTATGATTCACGCTAAATTTACACGTAACCTTCGATGACAGAAGATCTGTAAAAAGGTAAAGGTCAATTAAAAGAGAGTATATTGTTTAGAAAGGGGAAAGGTATCATCACGTGAGATTTGTTTATGCAAAGTATGTCAATTATGTATAATTGTCGGTTGAGATACCTCTTGATGCCTACTTTTTAGTAGGCAAAAAAAAAGAAAAAAATGGAAAAAATTTTTTTGAAAAGGGGTAAAAAAAAAAAGATTTTAACAAAAAACAATACTGTTTAGACTATTTTGAAAAATTTTATGTGGATAGGGGTGTGGAAAACAAAGAAAGGAATATTTTTGAAAGGTGGGATTGAATTCATGTGATTTTAAATTTGTTAGATATGTTTTAATTTTCTTTTTCTAATGAATATAAATATATCTGTCTAGTATGCATATATGCTAAGTTATTCACAATTTTATCATAATAGTTATATTTTGTTTTTTTTTAATTTTAACAATTAATGATATTACATAAAAAAATTAAAACCATATAAATAAATCCATTTTATTTATATCAGTTAATATAGATCTATCATTTTATATAATTTATAATTTATATTTGTTTAATAAAGTTGGTTTTTTGAATATAAAAACCTAATTTCTTAAATCAGTCTATATGATTACTTTTAGAATAAAAATATTTAAATGTAAATATCTATTTAAAATAAATATTTAAAACTCTTAAATCAAAATAAAAAAAAATAAAATAGAAAGATACTTAATAGATAAATACCTATTCATTCTATAAGTAATTAGTTATTAACAAATAATAAAATTTATTATTACCTCTTAATAGTATAATACATTTATAACTTGCTAGTGCTAATATTATTAATTTATTTAAGATTTATATATTATTTATCAAATTATAAAATTATTCATATATTCTAATAAATTATTTATTAGTTTTAAGTATAACATTACGAAAAATATAAAAAATAGAATTAAAACTTATGATGATAAAATGAAATTTAATATTAGTTTAAATTGAATATAAGTAATTATATTTCATTTTATACTAAAGCTTAGAAAAATATTTCTTGAATGATAATGATTTTTATTCAAATTTAATTAAAATTTTTAATTTATGATTTTTTTATATATAAATAATATTTAAATATATAAATAAATGTTTTAAATAAATATAAATTTATATATTTTGTAAAGTTTTTTTAATAATATAAAAATAAATAAAAATTAAAAATTTTAGCTTTTATAAAAAAAATATTTTATTAAAATTTTGATCTTAAATTAATACAAAATGTTATTAATTAATGTAATTTTTTTTTGATTTTAATTAAAATTTTATTAAAAAATTTTATTAGTTTGATAACTAATTTTTAATATATTTAAAATTAACTTTAAAATGTAAGTAAAATTTCTCTTAAATTTAAAAGGAAAATTATTGAAGAGATAACAAAGTAAAACAATTTATAATTATCAAAAAAAAAAACTAAAAAAACTGAAATTTTATTTTAAATTATTATTTTATCTTTACTTTTACTTTTATTTTTGATAAAAAACAAAATATTAATAGCAATTTAAATAAAATAAAAAAAATACAAAAATCATTAAATTAATATTATTAATATTTTACATTGGATAAATTAATGAATATTAATAAATTTATTTAATTAATGATGATAATAATTATAAAGAAAAAAATTTCAGATGAGAAAATTGTAAATATTATAAAATTTAGTAAAATAAAACTTGAATTTTTATTACATATTAATTATGCAAAGTCATATATTTTTAATTTATTAAACTTTTTTTGTTTACTTATAAAATTCAGTATATTAAAAATTTTGATTTACTAAATATTCTTTACTTTATTTTTGGATTGCAAATTCAGTAACTATATTTATTTAAAATATAAGAAATTTATTTAAATAAAATAATTAAATAATTATTTTTAAAAGAATAATATAAATTATTTATTTTGAATAGGAAAAAATTACTTAAACGAATTAAATGATAGAAATTATTATTTTAAAATAATAAATCATTTAATTATAATAATATAATTTGTTTATTAAAATTATAAATTTCTTTAAATAATGGTTAATTATTCAATTAAAATTTTAATAAGTAAAATGAATTTTAGATTAATTTAAAAATTTGGTTTAATTTATTTATAATAAAAATCAAAAAAAATAATTTTTTTTAATTTTTTTTTTTTTTAAAAAAATTTTATCATTAAAACTAAATAAGCCATTTAAAAATATCTTTTAAATGTTTTATAAAAGTTTTTTAGAAATTTTTTTATTTCTTTAGGAATGAATATATTTAAGATAAATTAATTAGAAATTTTTTAGGTAAATTTTTTATTTTTTTATTTTTTTTTACAAATGAGTCTATTTAAATAAAAAAAATTTTTAGGAAAATATAATTAATAAATTTCAATAATATGCTAAAAAAAAAATTTAAAGTTTGAATAATTTATAGATTAGTTTTTAGTTTTAAAAATAATTTGTTTTTTTACATAAAAGAATTAAATAAGCTGCTATTTTTTGACCATTAAAAGCAACTTTTTCAAAACATTTTTTTATTTATTTCAGCAAGTAATAACTATTTGCATATCTAAATATGTGAAAAAACCATCGTTTGTTATCTTTAAGTAGAACAAACATTTATTATGTATGACAAATAATTTGATCGTCATTTCGCATTTATACTAAAATAAACAGCCATTTTCTCAAAAAAGCAAACCATTTCTCGGAGTGTATGTTTTGCTCCATGACAAATGAATAATATGTTGAACCAATAAGAAAGATATAATCCTAAACCCGGGGCGGGATGTAATGATTCACAACCATTCATCGTATATATTAATTTTATTAAATCATATTACATTAACTAATTTAACTAATTTAAAAGAATTGTTTTTTTTTTTTTTTTTGAACAAGGATCGTAACTCAATCAATTTTTTTTAAAAAAAAAATTTTATGTTTCTGATGGTTGACTACGATAAATATAAAATTGAAAAAATATCTTGAAAAAAAAGAATAATTAAATTAGAATAATTAGAATGAATTTTCGTAAAAAAAAAGGGGTAATTTATAATTTAACCTACCACTATGTCAAAAATCATGGTACCGCCACTTCCTATTAACCAAGATAAATTTATTAACAAAAATTTTGGATCCGTTGAATATAATACGACAGACTTTTTTTTATGAAAAATTATGATTAGTTAGTTATGTTATAAAAAAAAAGAAATCATTGGATTAAATGCAAAATGAAAGTTGATGTCCATACCAAACAATAAGTAAGATTTCCTAATAAGCTAAAACAAAACATGGCCAATGATAAGCCTTCAGTTGATTTACACTTATAATTTTGGAGAATTTGTGGAATTCGAGAACTGACTATATTATGAGAATTTAGATCAGTAAAATTCATAATATATGGTAAAATATAATGCAGTTAAACCTTTTTAAATGCACTCCCTTGGGAACATTGTGAGAATTTGAAAAATGGAAAATGTGCATTTAAAGAGGGTGTGCATTTAAAGAGAACATTTTTATATGATCTCTATATGCTGCTTGGGACTGATTGAGGGGGGTGCTTTGACTGTATCTATTTTTACTTACGATAAAGAATTGCGCTGATCCATCCAAATATCTGTGGTAATACTTCCATTTGTTGTTCTTTAAGGATCCATAAGGAAGAATGATCATTTTTAACTTCTTGTCTTTTAGAAATAGCGACTCCAGTTAATACACATAATAAAATGGGAATTAATATTATAAAGGGCAATCTAGTAGAAATTTTATTATTTTTATTTTTATTTGGTTGAGCTTGTATAAGGAGGGGTAGTTCTTCATCGGATTTGTAGAATTTGCGATAATAATAAATTTGAAAAATCAATACAGCATCGGTTAAAGTGTAATAGACGCCAAGTATTATCTAGCAATAAATTAAATTAATCAATTAATTCTCGTGTGACACGTTTTTTGATCGACATTAAGGGCCTTAATTAGAATATAAACTCACTATATGTCTAAGCAAGTGTTGCAAGATTGCTCCTGTTAAATTTAACAAATCGCCGGCTACCCATATATAGAGAAAAGTAAGTGATAAAGAATCACCAGACTTTCGCTTATAATTTATCCATATTTGTCTTTTTTCAAAAGAAAAAAAAAAGAAAATCAATCATTTTCTAAGCGGAAAGTTTCGTTTGTATTCAATAAATCATAGGATTTATTTTAATTATTTATAAAAACTTACGGAAATAAAACTATGAACCAACAAACGATTGATATATAGCCACAAATATCAGAATAGATGTCGGTATCTTTGTTGTCAAGTATTTTCATTTTTAAAAGTTAAAGCAAGTAATTTGACTTTTTTTTACGAAAGTTGTGATTTCGGGTCAAAAAAAATAAATGTAAGGAAAAGAGAAAAAAAAAATAATGAGTATTTATATCTATTGAGACGGAGTACAGTTATCAATTTATCGTTATGTAAAAGTATTTGATGCAAGCATTAATTGTAATGTATTATAAAGCTTATCGGTATGGTTTAATCAAAAACCGGGTTAATCGGAATGAACGGGATAAGTTATCTATTTATGTAAAAAAGGATTATTTATTATGACATGTGGAAGTGGGCTTCATTTTCAATAACCGGTTTTCAATAAATGATTTTAAATGATGATACTCCGTAGATCTTGTAAATCTGACAGATTACGTAATTATTTCTAGTTCGAACTCGATACGCATCTCACGTGTTAGGAATACACCTTATATAATAATTTATAAAATTAACTCGACGGATCGGATAAAAAATTTTAATTAGTAAATTCGATCAAGTGAGTTATCTTTTAAACAAACCATCTTTTTTCACTGAATTTTGGCTCAAAATTTATCATTGATAAAGTATAAATAAGAATTTCATCTTCATGTATCCCTATTGTTGTTAAGAATGAAAAAGAAGCTTGCTCATGTATTGATTGCGATTCTTATTTAATTTAATTATGATGCATCATTTCAATCATAAATGTTTATTATAGAATTTTAATTTATTTTAAATGATCTTGTCTTGTTAAACAATTACTTTATAATAATATCATATATTAGTATTAATCATTTAAATTTTAAATTTTTTATTTTTTTATTTTCTTAAAAAATACATTTTTATATTTTTTATATTAATACTATATTTAAACTATTTATTCTCTATTTTATCTTATTTATACTTTAAATTAATATCAAAAGTAAATATAAAACAAAATAAGTATTTAAAAATACTTATTTCAAATATTTATTAATTATTCACATTCTTTATATACAAAATACTTGCTTATATTTCCAAAAATTCCAAATGATTCTTCTTTAAAGAATCCAGCCAATGTTTCTTCAAAACTTTAAACAATCCTTTTAAAGAAACCAATCAAAGTTTCTTTAAAAATTTCAAATGATTTTCTTTGAAAACTTCAAATAAAGTTTGTTTAAAAACTTCAAATGATGCTTTTTTAAAGAATCCAACTAATGCTACTTTTTCAAAAATTTCTCATTGATTTAACTTCTATAGATACCTTATTATTATCAATGAATAAGAATATCAAAGATATTATTCTAGTATATACTATATATACTGATAATTAAGGCCAAGATGACTATAATAATTGTAATTATGATAATCAAGATGATTGTAATAACTGTATAACAGAAAAATATAAAAAGAATAAAAAGAATTAGATATTTCACATTATCAATTAATTTATTATAACCAACAGGATGATATAGGGCAAAAAGGAGGTTTTGGAACAAATCACCAAATCATTTCTGATTCAATTCTAGCTATACGAAATCCATTATCGAATTTAAACCTCTAGTGTGATTTGACTTAATTCTAGATAATAATATCGAACTTGTCTAGGAATTAACCTTCAGATATCAAGAATTATACTGTTTAATATAACCATTCTAGTATGATTTTAATATATCAAAAAATTTTTACTATTCTATTTGCCTCAGAAGGGGCCATCAAAAATCAAGTAACAAAGTGACGTGATTTGAGCTGGGCCTGATTATGCAAACCTAAAATGCATACCATATTTCATAATATCCTAGAATTAATTCTAAAGCTAATTCATTAACGTAAATAAAATCAAAATTTCAGTATCCACATTGATGTGGGTACCAAAATTTTGTATGCACACAAGAAAGTTAAAAAGTCACAGAACACATTCTAGTATACCATTTTTTTTTAATATACAGGAACACATTCTAAAACCATTTCATTTACGCAAAGCTAGGTCAAAAAAAATGATATCAGGATACCAAAATTTTGAATAGGGTACCAAATTTTCAAACAGGATACCAAAATTTAAATAGTCTATTTACTATTTATTAGGGCCTTAGAGCGCAGTCTGTTATAGTATTGGGAGACATAAAACCCTTTTATATGATCAGGACATCTATCAGAAGCTGATCTATTAAGTCTACCACATTCATTACAAGGAGTAAGTTGCTTATTAGCTAACTTTATAACATATTTCTAATGAATAGAACATCCTTGTTCATGCATACAGGATCATCCACAAATTTTATCAGAGAAGTGTATAAAGGAGCAAGTATATTCACTATACATAATGTAATTATTTTTTATATACCAAAATATTAATTAAAATAAAAAGTTTATATAAGTATCATATAATAAATCAAGTACTTACATAATGAGTACGCAAATTCAATTATCTGATACTAAACCCACATACCAGGAAGTAGAGTAGGCATTAGTAAATGTAGTCAAGGCTGACATTTATTATAGATGATCAAAAGATGACAAATTCATGCAAAACTATAAAAAGCAAGTAAAAAAATTACGTCAGGCAGAAGATCCCAATGCATATATTCTAAAAAATGCAAAAAGATTGTTTTCAGATAAGGATAAATATCATAGTATTATAGATGACTATAAATCTTGGTATGGAAAAGATCCAAAAATTCTTAATGCCGTCATAGAACTATATAAATTATACTATAAATTAGCTAAGGATTATTTTATTACTGATAAACAAGTTAATGAAGAGACAGAAGACTTCCTATCATCACTTTAGAAATTTAATTCATAAGCACCTACTGGGGAGGCAATTCTGTATCATAAGGAATAATCATCAATTCTTCTTGAACAAAAGATCTTTTAGGACGTTTGAGAATATAATTATCATTATCAATTAACCCAA